ATCAATATTAATGGGCATGAACCGTCGATCACTGCCGACTTTCTTGGTTGGTAAATTCCATTTGAAAAGAAGTGGTTGGTTTATTCGTTTCATTAGTTGTTTGTTGTTTGGTTGCTTGAGGATGACGACGGCGATTGTGTAGCGGTGTGTGAGAGAGTTGCTGGAGCGGAGTGGAACGAGAATGGCACGATGTATGGATTGGATGTGATAGTGGCTGGCTGGATGGATGGATGGATGGATGGATGGATGGTTGGATGCGATACGATTGCTGGCGTTTGTTGAAGGGATTGAATAAATGTTGTTGATAGCTGTGCTGTTGCTGGCTCATCAAACACTGCTTCATGCTACGAGCACTCACTGCCGAATGCTTCAGCAGCTATATCCCAAAACTTATGCTGCATACTAATGATAATGATTATTGTTGTTATTGTTCACTGCTCTTACTATGTGCTCCACTTTCATTTATCAGCAGCACTTTTCTGCTCTTTTTGCAATCAAACCGTGCCTCTTCTTCATCATATCCCTCTGAACGCGTAGCACTGTTCGCTCCTCTTACTTACTTACTTACTTACTTACTAGCTCGTTGTTCAGTTATTAGATTAACTTTTGTTTTGTGGCATTTCCAGTTAATTTATTTGCTTTTGAGCTACAATGATCAGCTGTCGTTTTTTATTTACATATCAGTTATGTGCTCTATCGATAATGATTTACAATGTAATTACTGTGGTATTCATTCATTTACTCATTTGTTTATGTGATCTCACTTATATTAATTTAATTCTTTCATCAGCCTTTTCGTTTTTTTGCCAAATCTCGTTTCATGAACGATCACCGAGTTGATCATACGTTAAATTGATTAGCAATTTGCACTATTGAGACTTCTCATTTGTAGTTTTCAGTGCGATTTTATTGCGCATCTTTGCTATTCGACGATGATTCGATTATCTCGTAATTGAAGTTNTTTTTTTTCTTGGTTTAAGTTGTTTTTGTGAGTGTTTTTGACGGCTTGCGCTCAGCAATTTGTGGAATTTTTTTTTATTGGCGAGTATTTTCTAGTATTGCAAGCAAAATACACCTGTGTCAGGTGCTAACTCGTTCAGAGTAGAAATGCACTCTTCTGCAAAATGACCAATTACTGTTGAGAACACAGCATAAAACGAGCATTAATCATTTTTACACTGATATTGCGATCAAATTTCACCAACGAAAACAACAAAAAGTCTGTTCGACGATTACGAAATCTTATTTGCTAAGCAAATGATAAGATTCAGAAACATCAGCCGAAACTGTCAATCAAATACATTTATTTAACTGTATTAATATTTTGTGTTATTCATCTCAATTAAAGCATAAAATTTGCGATAAACTCGAATGAACTGTGAAGTTATCGTTGAGTTTTTCGATTGTTTTGCATGTCACAATAGTGGGGCTTACTTCGTCTGAAAGATGCAAGTTTACCAGATGGATGGAGCAGATCCACAGCGATGCGATGCACTACTGATTGATGACCGAAACATTCTTTCATGCTTCTTTAATTCGATACTGCGACATTTAAGCACAAATCAATAAATTACCACAAGCAGTGCCGCTTGTAACGCATTGCTTCAACTCTACGTTAACATTACTGACTTCAGTGCAGATTAGCATTCGTGCTAGAACTAGACGCGCAATAATTAGATTTCGAGAGCAATGGGATATTGCGGATCGAATTTACAAATTAACTATGATCTTGTCTATTCTGCATTCGCGTACGCTGAACAGTCAAGGATTAGAGTGATCACCCAACTGCATTCGATTGCAAATCGATACGATTCCTTATTGTTGATTTGAAACGTCTAGCTAAGCGATTAGATTAATCGTGAAGTATCGATTAGCAAGGATCATATGGCGGATTTAAAAGGAAATCATCCACGCAAGAGTATACGCAATTTGAAGATAATTGCATCATGATGAATGGTTTCATCCAGTTATCATGGACACCTAATATCGATTCATTTGTGAATAGATTTCCTTCGAGTGTTCTTCAATCATCAATTCATTCAGGCATTCTTCCTTTGCAGGTAGCAAGGATTCATAGATTTTTCGCTTTATCATACCGTAAATTCCTAAAACCAGCTCCGAATTAACGCTTTCTGGTACTTTTCCATCCGTCGAGTGCTGCCCAGTTAACTGGGAAAAGTTTTCGGGCTGAATTCGAATCGTTCGATCCCATATGAGACTCGCCTCAGTGTCATTAGAGTGTCTTTATGGAGCCAAAGCTCAAAAACAGCCTCAGCCTAAGCCTAAGCCAAAGCCTGACCCTAGTTCAAACAGATTGGGCCAAATTACGTCAAAGACTGGTCCTCGGAGGCACTTTTTGCAGGAAACTTTCTCTGGTGCTGTAAGTGATCAGTGCTTCTCGCCCATTATTGATCATTCGCATGTCTTTTATCCAAAAATAACTTTTATCAACTTCCATGTGCTGGTGTTTATGAATGTGTTCTATTCCAAAAATGTTTTATGAATGTGCAAAAATAACTGTATCCAAAAATAACAATGAATGTTCAAGCAAACAGATGAACTTTGTTTTTGTTGATTGTATCACTTACTTTACTTGGTATTAGAAGCTTGAGAGGTCATATCCCGAATAATGAACCGCTGCCATATACGAAATAAATTTCTACATGACCAATCTCAATTTTGCGTTGCTGTAGCAAAATGCACAACGTACACAGTGATGCACACAGCACACGGCATCGAAACGGATCAGTTTCAAATCGAATTTGATGATTACGGGATATTATGAGATTAGGAACGGACATGTGCACAAGCGGATAACATGGACTAGCACAGAGGCAGTAAGACGGGTACACGGTTACTTGGCTGTTCGCTCTCGGTTTCGCTCTCTCGTAAATGACAACGGCAGCTTCCCATTTATAGTACTACCAGATTCATTGTTCGCATCTGCTATCTTCATAAAAGTTGTCTCCTGAATCATCAAATTCCACAGATTCTCGTGCTAATTTTGCACTATACACTTCATTGCATCATTAATCTAGATATTCTTGACAATACAATTCTCCTGTCTCAACTGTTACCATTTCATTAACTCTACTCGCTTATAATGTTTTATCTGGCAAAAGTTTTCTGCTGTCTGTTGCTGAGCGATTTGTACAATGAGGATTGCTGATATGATAAGATTCATCAACACTATATCATCAATACATCCATCATTTACATTCAAGCATTTGGCTGGGCATCACTAAGTGTGTGTCTCATATCAACAAACGTTTATGCTGATCAACTCAATTCTTCATTCTCATCAGTCAACTCATCAGTTTTTATTTCTATCCTTCAAAAAAACGCCTAACAACCAATTGACGGTGCACTCAATCAGGACAGCAGCATAAAAGTGCGCTATACGATGAGTTCAATGCATTTCACATTTTATTGCTCTCGTCAAGAAGTGCATTCGTTTCTTTGACTATTCACTCGGATCATTACTTCGGTTCAACGAAATTACTTCGCTCCTCTACAGCCAAAAACATAGGTAATGCTCGTTCACATTAAATTTCAGAGTGTACGAAAGAATAAAGCACAAGCGAACGGTCAAGCATTTCTTGCAGATCCAACTGTAATAATTGCTCAATGGAATTAATTCCTTGTGAATTGCCTCCTCGAATTCTCCATTTCATTTTTATCGTGTATGCAGTCAAGACAAGTTCGAACACCTGTACAGTTCTAAATAAAATGTGTCTACCCCATTAACAAATGCGTTAAGCTCTTTTGTATCCCCTTCGCCCTTTTCCTGAATATTCCCTCGTGTTCTTCGACAAACATCTCAATTGCACCATAATTGTTGCTCATTCACTGGATGTAGAATGTCTTCTTTTTTCAACCATTGAATGTTTCTCTGATGTAGGTACATTGGAGTTAGAGGAGGTTTATTGGTTCATGATAGAAGGATGACTGTAAAATGCGAAATGTAATTGCAGTTAAAAGAAACTTATATTGCAGCAATTTGCAATATGAAATTTTCAATTTTTCACCTTTCGTTCTTCATAAACGCAATGAAAATGAATGGATGGGTTGGGTTGTATGCAAGCGGGCGCTATTGCGTTATGATTATGTATTCATGCTATAAAAACTTAATAGAGCTTTGCGCAATGAGGCCAACCAAATGACATTCAAAAATTTTTTTTCGTCATATTTTGATTGGATTGGTTCAACAAATTATAGATTTCATAGAATAATGCCTCCCTGCATATGCACCACCACATTCATCTAATGCAATTTTCACCTGTGATCATGTATTCGTTCCCATTTCTTCTCGAATGAATTCGCTTATCTTCAGCGAATAATTTATGATTATAGCTGAACATGAATCGTGATATTACGAATGGTTATGATAATTTGCGTGAATGTCGAACATTGCGACAGCTTAAAGCACAATGAATTGTACCCAAGAGAGAAGTGATTTGAATGATTTGTTTGTTTGTTCGGTCGTTGAACAAGATCCACCAAGTGTTTCCTTGATCTTCTTCTGCCATTCTGCTACTCAAATTTGATAACAAACCTGTCATCTTCAGCTATACTGCTGCTTAAATTTCGTAAACTAGCACTCGTTGTTCATTGTATAACTATATTACAGGATTTGTTTTACTCGGTAAGATAGGTTTAGGTAGTTTTCAAGATATAGTAATAAGTAGAAATTATAAATTTGTACTACTTCACAGCGAAATTTGTACTACTCTCTCTTCCACATGGTTGATAAATATTTGAAATGTAAAATGTTCCACCTGAATTATTTCTCATTCAGCTGTATGGATAAGTTTTACTCATACCGCAATCGAATGTTACTTGAACGTGAAAATTGTTTGTAAACGTTTAGCAGTTTTTCAAACACGGCGATTAATCAAGTAATCGTTTCATCGCTTCTCAGCACCATCAATTTTGTGAACATTCACAAAAATGATTTGTTGGTTTTCTTTCACCAATACTATCGCTACTCATTGTTGTTGTTTTTGATCAGGCTCTCAGGCGACTAACGTAGTAAGTGAACTGCTTCATCAACGCTTTAATCGCTAAGGCATCATGGAACCGAGCCCATCTGTTTTAGCATCATCATTTGCTTTTGTAATGTAACTGGGTTAAATTTGTTCAGATAGTTTTTGTGAGCAGTCATCTGCTTGGGTTGACACTATCACTGATTTATTTTGGAAATGAAATGCAATGTGCAACGATTAACGCAATTGCATCAATCATTATAATCGGAATGTACTAATCGTAAGTGTTCGTTCCTT